ATAGGGCTGCATTGGGGGGGCGGGGCAGAGCAGGGTGGGCGAGGCAGAGCAGGGTGGGCGGGGCAGAGCAGGGTGGGCGGGGCAGAGCAGGGTGGGGCAAGGGCTTCAGCGTGTGCTTTCATCTGTGTTCAGGGGTTTGCTCTCTCTAACTCTACTCGTTAGACTGATGATTTCATGCTTTATTTATAGTTTGCAATTATCATTATTATAATTATTACCAAATACTTTTGATTTCACATAAGTTATACAGACATAGTTCTGATGTAAATAATATCACTGTTATAACTGATCGTGATGCATATCACGCCTTCATATATGGTTTTAATCCATGTGGCCCTGGATGCAACTTCAGAAATGTTCACCTTGGGTGTGGCAGCGACCTCAGAAGAAGAGAGTGCAGCCTGGCAGGCAGGAAGCCAGGCAATGATCCCCAGGATCATCAGAAATCCAGGGAGGTTCCTAAAGCCGCCTGCAATATCCAGCTGGCTGATTATTATTATCAGTCACTTTCAGGATGAGCCAGATGTCCTGTGTTTACTTGCAGGAGAGGTCAAGGCCCGGCCTTAGGAGGAGGGGCTTATTGGAATGACACTGGATAGACTCATGTCCATAAGCATGGGGGGTGTCACAATCATACAATCAAACAAATGTCCCCATATCGTAAAATGTAACAAGTTTTTATCACATTGCAGGGAGATCTAGTCCCCACAATGTAATAATTACAAACACGCACACACACACCTAGCTCTCACAGATCTGTCACAAACAGCATGTATCTGATTGTAAACCTACAAACAAACAGCAGCAACTCGCACCTGCCTTCAGCTGTATTAAAATTTCTGTTTATATTATGATGCTAAAATTTCTAATGCACAGGGGTTGAGGCTGAGGAAGGCAGAGTCGGATCGATGCCCATCTCTCAATCTTCAAAGGATCTGCTGACCACCTGCAAGGCTTGGTGACTAATGTCAGAGATCCTGGACTAATTAGTGATGATAATTTTAGGATCAAAGACAATGAAAGCTTACGATGAAACCAAGACAACAGTCAGAGGAACCAAATAAGGGACACGGTGTTTATGTGTGTGTGTACATGTGTGGGTCCGCCTCGTCCTACAGACGTCCACACACCGTTAAGCCACTTGGAGTTGTACTGCGCCGTGCGCAGGGGCGGCATGCTGCCCAGGCTGCGGTAGATGACGGGGTCCCGGCCCGAGAAGTCGATGACGGTGGCCGCATACAGCTCGCCCTTCTCCGTCACCACGGCTGTGGAATTATGGCGCGGGTCGTAGGGGCAGCGTGCAACGCCGTTGACCCGATCCAGCACGCGGCTCAGGTTACCCACCTGGAAAATGTGGGGAAGAGCAGGGGGTATTACCACCTGTACACGGGGCGGGGAGGGGGGGCTATGCATTCCACCGGGACACTTGATCTAATTGTTCAGCAATTTAATCAATTTAGTCATCTCACATCTTGTGAACAACTTGGAAAAACTGGAAAAAACCATTCACAGTCTAGCAGTCTGAACTCAAACCTTAAACCTAAACCTGGCCCAAACACAAACCCAAACTCTAACTCAAATACAAACCCCAAACAGCAGTCCCTCCAGCGAGTAAGCAGCACTGACAGTCAAGCAGCCCTCAGAGAACACATTTGTTCTGCTCTGTTTACATCGCAAACAGATCTTCCTGAAAATCCATAAACCTTCCTGGCTTCAGTGTTTTCAGATAAATGAATACGCCTCTGACAGCTGAGTGATGCTCAGCAGCAGGCTGTACCCCAGAGATCCGGTCCTAGGGTTTACCATGAGATTCTGGCCCTTTAAATGTGTACCATGGCATGCTCTGCTGGCTCCACGGGCCCCCCACATCTGGCAGAGACGCCCCTCACCTGTCGCGTGGTGCAGACGGGCAGGAAGGCGTTGGTACCACAGGTGAACACCCGCTTCCCGTTGATGAGTAGCACCCGGATGTAGTTCTGGCACTCCACCTGCGGAGGGAGTCATCCACAGGGATTTACTGTGAGACCAGAAGCAGCCAACCAGACCTCCACCACTCCACCAATGTAGAGCTTGGTGATTTATGGATATTTTTCTGTGTGTTGAGTAAGATGATTCTACAAAGCTATAAACACTATCATCAGACATTTTCATCTGGAAGGTTAATGCATGTTTATTTTGTACATGAAGGCAACTTTTGGCACATAGATTTTGAAGCTGGGCTTGGTTCTCTTTGCCTGCATCAATATATGTGCATCTACAATGATATGCAGCTAATATTGCAGCTCTCCCTGTTTCATCTCCCATGAACATACTGCATCACAGTGAATCCTCAAATTGCTGAAGAGATCTGCCTTATTGTTGTGGCTCTCATGCAATCGGAATGACATGCAAAGAGAGCGAAACCATGAGGCAGTAAACGTCTGGAACCACAAACTGCATTTTCCCCATGCTGGCTAAATGAGGGGACGGCATTAAACGTTACCTCCGTCTTTCCTTTACTCTGACAGGACCTCCTGGTGTCTTCGTCTGGGCCCCATTCTGTTGCCTAGGAAACCAAAATAAAGAAAAGGGATGCATTCCCATTCCAGTTTTAGCCTCCAGTGTACAGCCGGAGTGTACGGACAGTTCGCAGGTATCATTCAGCTATCTGTGGTAATATTCCACTTGCCCAGCCTTACTGAGGATGCACCCTTACCTCGGACTGTTCACTATGCTAACATGGCAATAAGTGGGCCACTGCCTCAAAGAGCCAGGCAACTAGATAGCCAGCAAACCACTGTCATTTGCATATAAATGCAAGCGCTTCTTATCATTCAAGTGGAGCACAGCAACACCCCAACCCCCCACCCCTGGCCCCCCAATTATATTTCTTTTAAGTGTCCCGTGTTTAATTATGGATGCATCACCAAGGCTAACGTTCTCCCTCCTCTAATGAAGGCATGAGCTGGCTCAGTGGTGGTTCTGAAGTCTCCCCATCTCCTGGTTTCCCTCTCATGGGCTGTCCTTCATGTTTACATTTACACATCAGCTGCACTCCCACCATCCAAGGCGAAACATACCATTCCAACCCTCTCCGTCACACGGCCTTTATGCTCCCACTATCCCGGGCTAAATGTGCAATTCCGACTCTCTCCACCATACGGCCATTATGCTCCCACCATCCCGGGCTAAATGTGCAATTCCGACTCTCTCCACCATACGGCCTTTATGCTCCTACTATCCCGGGTTAAATGTGCAATTCCGACTCTCTCCACCATACGGCCATTATGCTCCCACCATCCCGGAAACAAGGTGCCTTTCTGAGTCTTTCCACCACACTAGCTTGGACTTCATCACATACTACAAAACACAGCCTGGAGCCTGGATGCAGATCAAAGGACAGGGCAGAAAGGAGGAGAAGACCATTGATCAGCTCAGTGCATCCAGGAATTGATCACCACGCCTTTTGAAAGTCAGTGCCAGACGGCCTATTCTGAGTTCTCACCACTGCCTTTGAGCTACCCGACTAAGGGACTCTGTTCAATTAACCTTCTTCACTGAAAGATAAACACTGAGGGAAAACGAGCTCAAGCAGTTAAGGCTCACGCCAGAGTCATGTTTGCGCAGGATTTAATTAGTGTCCAGACTATATTTACACTGCACCCAGGGGAAAGGAGGCCATCATAATGAGTGGAAAGCGTAGCTCCTCATTTCATCTAAATCAAAATGAGTTTAACAGTCCTGCTTTTGTATCTTTTATAACTGTGTGTGACGATGCTATGGACAAACAGCATTAGCCGCCTGTAGTTTGTCAGCCCACAGAATGCAAAACCAACTTGCTTTTCACCGGGTGGGTCAAACGTCCTGTCGCTCCACAGCCACATCAACTGCTACTCAGACACCTACAGGGCCGAGAGAGGAACAGCACATGGCGGTCTCTTCCAAAGGAACATGCTGGGAAATTCTACAGTGTGTACAGTGAGGAGAAGTGGTGACTGCAACAGAAGAGCTGTGGGCTCATGCTGGGGGTGGGGGGGTCCTATGATGGGGTAATGGGCTGGGAAAAAACGGGGCAAAAACCTTGTAATGCCAATCAGGGCCACACAGCAGCTTGGGAGTATGGGCTGTTTGTGTTTTGTTTTCAGAAACGGAGCTTTTGGGATAGAGAGAGGAAATACCTTTGGGGTGACTCATCAGTTAGGCCGTTGCCATAGTATCAGCGAGGATGCGGGGTTCAATGCAAAGCCCCAGAATGCACGTGGACCAGACGGCCTGGGATCAGCGCCGAAAGAGGCTCTAAGCAGCCATTCAGCCACAGGGCTTCAAACCTGCAACGCACTTGGAGCTTATGTTGTCAGTACAGCCTGGATCGATAGGAGGGCTTGGCTTTCTCAAGTCAGAGGTGATAAATTCTCAGTGACAGGCATGGCAAAAGGGCAGGGGGGGGCTGTGCCGGACATTATGGAGGCTGGTTTCCCTACACCACTTAATATGAATTACTGCTGCTCATTAGAAAACTGAACTTAAAACAAAAATTCACAACTTCTGTAACGGTCCAATAAGTTGGATTTTTACAGTCACATTATATTGTTATTGAAGGAAAATAATTTCTGATACTATTCTACATTTTATTAGGCTGCCAAAGTGAGATAGGGCATTTTTACAGAACTTCCACTTCAATTCCAGAGCTCACATGAGGTTGTCAATCATTTGGTAGATTATGCTTCTGGGTGACAGAAGCGTTTACCTCCCAATCTAAATCCATTCCATTAGCTGTTACAAGAGATTCCATTTGCACATAACAGCCATTGTCCCTCTCCTGCCTTGGACCTGTGCATGGCATCCAGTTAAATTCATAAGCAGCGAGAACTGCCCCTGCAGGCGTGCTGATGTTTTTCACAGGAGGGAGCGTCAGAAAATGCGGAGGAAAAATGATGCTTATTTTTACACCACAAACTCCTCAGACAAAAATAAAATGTCAAGAGAAAGTATTTGGGGAATTAGAGAAGAGTACAGTTTTCAACTGACTCCTTTAGCTAGCGATAAAAATACACACATGTCCCTTTATTTATCATAAAAATACAACATTTACAATTGATCAGGCAGCTGGCCCTGGTCTCCTGAAAGAAATGACCTCAGAATAAGGCCAGGAAGACACCTCCTCCTCCCCTAACTCACAGCTATAGGTTTTCTTAGCTATTAACACCAATAACTAACCCAGAAGGCGGTTGATCATGGTGTATCAAGCCCCCCCTCCAAAGACCAAGCGACCAGACGGTCTCGGCCCACAATGTTTCCCAAGGTTCCTGAACTTCAACGGGGCACCGCCCCCCGACCTCTAACCAAGCCCCCAGTTCATGGTCCTGCTCAGACCCATTCAGCACAGACTTGATGGATGTGACAGGATTCCCAAAGGGGCTGGGCATTGTCCCCAAACACTGATCCCCACGCAGGGGGGATCAGAGCCCCCTCAGCCTCCTTTTATGGAAGTAGGCTGGCTGGTTTTCAGATGGAATCAGTGTAGTGCCCCCCCCCCCCCCCCCCCGCTGCACAACTCAATGGTTGCATTCGGCCTCATAGATATGGGGCATTTTTCGGGGGTGAGTTAATGGGGTGTGGGCAGCCCATGGAGGCATGCTTACATCACGGAAGTGGAAAGGGGGGTGCAAGGTACTCCAGCCGGTAACATTCTCGATATAAGCACAGCATCTTTACAACACTGAGGCAATATCGCCATATTGCCAAAAAGATAACTGACGGAAAGGTGTGCAAACACTGGGGGAGACATGACCTCAGGTCTCAATGGGGACTCAACCATGCTCTTTATTATACAGTAGATTTCCTCAGTTTATAAGTCATAAAACATAAAACAAGCACTTTTAGGCTTCGCTTCACACACCACACAGTTTGCCTTTTTTCATGCAATTCCAAGTGAGTGTCTCAGCCATCTTTCTACCGAACCAAAAGTTCACAAGAAACTGATTAGGAGTGCAATCGTCTTTTCTTTGATTTCTGCTGTAAAAGTTTTGTGGAAGTTTCCACACTACATGCTCTTCTCAGAGGATGAAGAACCAGAATTCTTGGAAGGGGATGTGTTACAATCTATGTGTTCCACTTCCCCTTGGAAGCCTGGGGGCAGGAGATTAAAGAAATGAACTTACCTGAGGAAAACAGGGCTTGCATGGTGGTTTGGCAGATAACATTGCTGCTACACGTTTCCAGGACTGAGGGTTCAAAACCCATTTCCCGCAGTCCAAAGACATACAGTCAGGCTAACTAGCATGTCTGATTTGCCAAGACAGTGTGTGTATGTACCCGGCGATAGATGGGCACCCCAACCAGGGTGTACACCTGTGCTGCCTGGGACAGGCTCCCCTACACCCTGCTCAGAATATGTGTTTCGAAGGTAGATGGGTGAACTGTGTTACCATAAATGGCCACATAATTCACTACAGCTACACAATGCTGAGTAAAAATCACAAAAGCACAAAGTAATTACCTGGATATACAGTAGGATGACTAAGAAAAACGAGTTCAGCTCTCCATCAACATCTATCATGCAGTCAACCCCAAAACGATAATGACTGCATCAATAATTAAATCCATGCAAATTACAGAAGAACATGAATCATAAAAGCAACTAATTAGGCATATCTTCTCAGACTATGGTGTCTTTAAACCTTCTTGCTAACAGATGAGTGCATCTATCAAACCAAATCATAACCCTGACAATGGTGTTATCTAAAATCCCCCGGATTTGAGTTGCCAGGACAGTGAGCACCCAAGAACACATCTAGAAACCTCAAGGCGCAAGAAAATCAAGCCTGAAATTCTTTGTCAAAGTGGATTCTCTGAGCTACCTGTGCGGAGGTGGCCATGGTTCAGTGGTCAGTCATCCCTTGACAGCAAAGGTGTGAGCTTTGCGATGGCGTCCCACACAAGCCCCCTCTCCGCCTGTAGCCCAGAGTTCTCAACGTAATGCATGCTGAAAATTCACGCTTCTGAGGTTAAAAGCTGAAACGCCTGGGGGCCTCAACCCTGCTGGGGGGGCCTCAAGGAAGAAGATAAAGAGGGTTGGGTGCTGAAAGACCGAGACATAGACTGGGGCATAAAGGGCCTAGACAATAGATGGGCTGCAGTATGCAAGTCCTAAAGACATGTCAATTTCAAAGGCTCTATACTGCTGTCTAGGTCCAAAGGAATCACTTACTACAGGCCTGCCTGTGACATGGACTGGAAGTGATTTATCCAAGAACTCAACAAGGAAAACTACTACATTCACAACTGTACACATTAAAATCAAGAGATTTTTGCAGCACACGTTGTTAGAGTTCACTGAGTAAAGATGGGAAAACGTGTCTTTAAACAAAGCAAGAATATTACATGGGTTAGACAGGCAGGCTCCTGGATGCAGTGCCTTTGAAACCATGGAAATGTAAGCTTGTAACCTTGCAGCCTTGGTGGTGCTGATGCTCTCTGAGGTGGATAACGGCTCCCAGGCCGATAAGATTTGGAAAGGGCACCACTGTGCTTTAAAGATCGGGAGGTGAACGAGATGTGCTCAGTGCTCCGCGGAAAACCAAAGGCTTCATCAGAAAAGCCGCAGGAGCGGGAGGGAAAGCGCTCGGCTAATTCCTCACTCTTCAGCGGAGTAGAAAGGGAAAGCCAGGTTTGATCTTTGCCGGTTATGAGAGAAAGTTACTGTGCGTGTCCGTGCAACCCATAATTTTTTTTAAAAAAAAGGTAAGAGCAAGACGCCTTTCACCCGGGGCCTTCCTGATGAATGATGCCCATAAGCACGTGAGGTGGTTACGTCATTCTTGTGTAAAGTCCTTCATCTCTTCACATACCTGCTAATATAAATACACTCTACTGCAAGCACCAGGAAGTTCTCTCCTTCTCACACTGCAGTGATGTCCCCTTCCTTCAACCATACAGCAGTCACCTGCTCAGTGACACATTTATTTGGTTCTTCAGAAGATGCAGGGCCATCCAGCCAGTCCTAGGAGCTGATGAGCGATGATGAAGATTCGCTCGGGGAGCCGTAGCTGGGTGCTTGAGACATCTTGAATGTAGCACATTCAGATTCAGGGTGGCCTGCTGTTAGGTGCATGAAGTCATGTCACAGAGAGTCCCGCTGGAGCTTCCACCCACATTCCATTGCAAGGGGAAGCGTGCCGTCAAGGGAGTGACAGAAAGAGAGAGAGAGCAAGGTGTGGAAGATGAGACGGAGATGCGAGCTCCTACTTGGGCACATTCCACCCCTGTGTAATGTTTCTTCAAGCAAACACCAATCTGCTCTAGCAAACTTGACCCTGTTTGCATTGCAGAGCACAAAGAGCAGAAGCATCACCTTCCACACTTACTCAACCATCAAAAACTGGCCCTCGTCGACTCCCATTTGCACACCTCACGCTTTGCCAGCTCGAGACTCGGCTCCTGGGGCCAGATGTCATCCTGGGGGCTTGACGGGCTTCTGGAGCCGCTGGTAGGGCAGCTTGTAGCAAACGCACAGCCCTGCCTCATAGCCGACCTCAAACACTTGCTCTGATGTCCGTCCAATGCCGAAGTCCCAAGACGGTACAAAAAAATGATCATAAAAAGCCGTTTACCTGGGCAAAGAGTATAATTCTGATAGCGACAGTCAGCTACATTCTCCACCAGTCAAGCTGACACACTTCATGTTGTAAGGCTTCATGTTTTGGTAAAGATTATTTTATGCAGACTAGGTGACATGCATCTCAGACCACAGGAACGGGCAACATCTGAGATCTGTGGGTCAGACCTCTTCAGTTTATTGCTTCCTAAATTCAATGTCCCCCCCCAACATGCTTAGATCTCCATTCTCCTTGTGGATGCAAAGTGTACATGACTTGCAAAAAATGGGTCAAGAAGATAAACTAGCGAATCCTTTCAAGTGCTTCCAGGCATGTGTTTGGCACAGGCAGGGCCTCTCCAGCACGGGGCTTCTACAAAGCGGCGTCCAGCATGAAGTTGCTGACCGCGGTCTGCCATCCTTCGGCTTGGCTTCACTTAAATTCGGCGTTAGGAGCCTTCTTCCCATTGGCACTTTGCAGGGTGCGGGTCATGGTGACAGGGCAGCAAATGAAGTAGCAATCGCTCTCTGCGGTCTCTGTGAAGCTGAAGGGAAGATCAACCAAGGTCAGTAACCCCCTCCCACATTCCCCCTAAGGAAAGCTGGGAGGATGAAATCAGCGCTCCTCTATGTGTGCTCCTGCCAGGGCAGAATGTTAAGTATTTAAAACGGAGAGCCTAGAAATGAAGTGACCTTCTTCCAGACCCATTAATCTCCTGGCAGGAAGCCACTGGAAAAGTTCTGATGCTACGAGTGAAGACTGACACGTGCCAGGCACTGCAGACCGTGAGCCTCGGAGCCCAGGAAGACATGCAGATTCTGCGGAACAGACTGGGCGGTCAAGGAGAAGCACTTCAGCTATCCAAACATATACATGAAATGGAAACACAAATACAGCCCAAGGAAGACATTGGTTGCCTTGCACACAGAGCCTAGGAACCTGGAATAAACAAACAAATCCTGAACTTCAGAGACAGAATTGCACACCCTCTCTAAGACGGCAGAGTAAGAGCCGGCAGGGTGGCCGTGTTGAAGCACTGTCGCCATGCTGCTCCCGTCCATAACCCAACCCCCCCAGCACACACTCTGCCATCACATTGCCCCCCGAGCACCACGCCCAAAGCTCCCAAATGGAGACAGATCAGTCTTGTTCACTCCCAGACATGGTGGGATAGAGATATGGCTCTCTCGGGGGGGTGAGGGGGGTATCTGTTTTTGTGTTTAAGGGATTGAAACACTAGCGGAGCCGGTAATAATGCCAGAGTGTCACAGAACACAGGATCAGCTGCCGTAGCGCAAAATGCAGGGGATCAGCGGGACACCGCCCAGGGATGGACATCTGGGTCCCTCTGAGTCACCCGTCCCCATCTATCCGAAATGCCTCTTTCCCTGGAAACGGCACTCCACCCGGGTTTCTACTGGAACCCCGAATTACAACAGGTGAGCAGAATGGCTGTTATGATCACGCATCATTCATAAAATGGATTATTTATAAAATAGAGTTGCACCCATGCACACACACACGCAGACGCACCCATGCACACACACACGCAGACGCACCCATGCACACACACACGCAGACGCACCCATGCACACACACACGCAGACGCACAGGCACACACACACGCAGACGCACATGCACATGACGGCGCCAACTACACTGACCCCCTGAGGTGTTCCCTGCATTTGAAACCCCGGTCACCATGGAAACCCGAACGTTCCACTAAGCTCGGCTCTCTAGGCCGGATCACGGAGGAGTCGTGCTGCACCAGGGCACAGGTGCTCATCACCTGGCCATTTTCCGTATCGGAGCCAGACCAACATTGCCCTCGGGCGGCCGGGTGTCACGGGAGAGGAGCTGGAACCAGTGCCAGCAGCATTACTGCTGATCTGGGGGCCGAGGGCAGGACTGAACAGGCGGAAAAGGTAGCTCAGCGTGAAGATCTACTCACCTGGATCAGAGAAATGTTGCTTAGCGTTAATCTGAAGAGATAATTCCTGCAGGAAGCAGCCAGAGGACACACCGTTAGCAGAGACAGGCTACCGGAACACTTCCCATGTGCAGAAAAGGGCCCATATCCATTACCTGGCTCCCACGATCAGCTGGTTCCTGGTGAGGTCCAGGGCCAGCTGGGAGAAGTCCCTCACAGTGGGATGGGAAAAGATGGAGAGCCAGGGGCTGAGCACTGCGGGGGGACAGAGAGACAGGGAGGGACACTGAATGACTGCAGCCCTTGGAGGCTCCAAACACAGGTACAGTGATGCAGGGTGGGGATGGGGTTGCACCGGGGTAGGGGCAGACAGCAGGGAGGAGGGAGGGTCCCTCCCCCGGACTTCAGAACATGTATAGCAATTAAAACAAATTAAAAAAAGAACAAATTTAGCTCAACAGTCTTAACAGAAGATGCATAGAAACATAAAGCAGCAGCTCCTCTGCAACGCCGGGGGTATGAACCTCACAGACAACGTTTGCCTGATTATGGAGATTCTGAAGCTTGCACTAATCAGAGAGAATGAGAAATGCACCCTTTACTTTTTTTTTAACCAATTTTAACTATTTTATTAGCACCAGTTCCCCTTGAAAGCCATTGAAACAGCTTCACACTGCATTGTGACCTCAGTCGAGGGGCACTGTAATGTTGAATCAGGCTGGAGTGCAAGAGCCAGAGCCTCAGGCCCGAAACTCCGGACTGCAGGAAACAGGCCGTCAGCCTTATGATGAAAGTCTGACTTCCAGATCCACTCTCCACCTCACGTATCCACTCTGGGGCTCATTCTACTGCATCAAGGGTAGGGTGGGGGGTGGGGGGGGGGTGAGAGCATCTGTATCAATTTCAAAACCCAGACAAGGAAATGCAGGTGCTTATCTGACTGTGACTCTGAGTGTGGGATAATTGGGCCCAGCCAGATGCTGGGCCGACAACGGCTAATTGGGAAGAGAATCGCGCAGTCGCATCAAAACCCCAGAGACGTCAAACAGGGGACGGCTTTCCTCCACTCCACGGATTACTGCGGGAAGCGCTTCGGGACTGATCGGGAACAGATGGCAGCCTGACACCAGCCGCCGTAAATCCAACCATCTTCAGTGACTGGGAGGCCGTAGTTTTTCTGGAAGTTTTTCCTCACCTGACAGTTTGAGTCAGACGTCCACAGTCATTGGGAGAAACATTCATAGTCTAGTGCAATGGTCTCAAACTTTGTTTTCAGTGAGAGCTACTTCTACAAAGAACACAATCTGGGGAGTTACAAATTCAATTCAAGTATATGTATATATATATATATGTGTGTGTGTGTGTGTGTGTGTGAGAGCGGGTTTACCTATCCTTATGGGGACACAATGTCTCCATAACGTGATAAATATCCGTTTCCTGGTCCCCATAAGGGAAAACTCTATTTTATAAAAATCGGTGACTGCTATGAAAAGACTAAAAATGCAAAAACTCTTGTATTTTGTTAGGTTACTTATGGTTATGGTTAGGGCAGGGTAGGGGTTAAGGTTGTCATAGTTAGCGTTAGCATTTTTCCCATTGAAATGAATGAGCGGTCCCCATAAGGATATGTTTACCCTACGTGTGTGTGTGTGTGTGTGTGTGTGTGTGTGTGTGTGTGTGTGTGTAAAGGAGTCAAAAATGCTGGACCCTTCACCTCTCAGTCATGGACGAGCTGGGTGCTGAGAGTCACTGACTGGGCTGTGTGATGGACGAGGTGCAGTGAGAGTGGAGCTTCGAGTAGCATGGCCAATAAGGAGTGTACACAAAGGGAAAGGACGCTTATCGGCACAAATCCAAAACTAACATTGCATCAGCGAGCGAACCGGCGTAGCTCAGTCTGACGAAAACACCAGCGGTGCTGGGCGAGCTCCCAAAGTCACGATGCCGTTACAGGAATGCATTTGGTCAAACTGTCACGCTTGCCAAGAGGCTCCTCGTAAAGTTAGATTGGACTAAAATGTTACAATCAGGTAGCGCGTAAAACCCCAAAGTAGAGCAAAGCTGCCGAGTGCAATAGACAAGCCGGCGTGGAAAAGAGACGTAAGATAACTCACACGTCGGCCCAGCTGGTGCTTACTCACTCTATAAAGAGCTTCTTAATGTTTCCTTAACCCAAGGGCCACATTGGTTGAATGTGTTTCAAACTTCATCTCCTTCTGTTGGCATCCTGCACAAAGAACCAGCCCACGGAAGCCTTCATGCCTGGCCTTTAGACAGAAAGATGCTGATGGATTCCTCAACAGAACTTTGAGACTTTGATAAAAGATCCCTTTCACACATGTTCTGTGAATCACAAGGCCTTACAGAAAAACCTAATCAGACCGTGATGTCCAAATACCCGCGGATCCCAAAGCGACAGATGATCTCCGTCGGACCGGCACTGTGTAAACTGAGCCGTCTATTATGCTGGGAGTATTCTAGTGCAGTCTCAACGTACCAGGAATTAGGAAGTGACTTAATTAAGGTGACAATTGACAGAAAAGGAACAACTAAGCAGCAATGTGACAGCATTACAGACTGACCTCAGAAAATGTGACAGGCTTGGGGGCCGACATCAGAGGCTCACTCACCACATGATATCTGTACTGCATTCTGGATGCTAATTACAGCAGCTTAACGTTAATTAGCTGTCAAGCACGCTCGTCCAACGTTCTCCCTCGACTTGGTCTTGCCAAGTCGTGTAAATTAAACCTTTCTGTTGACGGAAAAGTTGCACGGAGAGAAATAACATATTTGTGACTGAATTATGGCCAGCAACCTTGGGAAAGACTGAGTCCCACAAATGGTCTGCACATCACAGGCTATAGTCAGCTAGTGGGTTATAATGTTTACTTAATAGATTTCAGGAGGAGAAACAATATTGGCAGAAAGATTTTCCTAATTAGCATTATAATCGTGTCTCTTGTTTGCTCCAATATCCTTTGAAGCGTAACTGTTAATGAAGGACGAATATTTGAGACGCATATCATATCAGGGACACAAGCACCGTTAGCAGGGCTCTCTCTCGCTCAGTATTCCAGCGTCAGGTGGAATCTGCCTGGAAAAATGGGGATCTGTCAGACCAGTGGTCATGAAGGCATCACTAAGATGCCCGGGAGACCCCAGGAGAGACCAAGAGGTCCCGGGGTGATCTTGGGGCACACCAGTGCAATATGGGCATTTTTGTAACCCCACCAATGTCTGTTATTTGTAATGAATTCTTATTTCAATGCAGTTTGATCTGTACACTGTGCTTCTGAGGCTAAGCTACAGGCCAATATAACAGCTCAGGCTGTTCTACAGAGGGAGCAACACAGATTCTACTAGCTTTCATCCTGTCCCTAGCCTACGGCGAAGTGGGGACTTATCGACAGCCCTCAGTCTTTTTCTTAGAGCCTCGGGGGCTGCTGGTACAGCATTTTCTTTCCGGGACGGCTCGCATACCTTCCCGCTTGCTTTCCCCTGCACGTGAATCCCTGGGGGCCTGTGGGATGGGGGTGTGTGTGGGGGGGGGGGGGGTCTCTGATTGTCTCACAAAGGCACCAAGGCCAAGCACTGGGCAGCGAGCCTCAGCGACGCGGCAAATCCGATTTCTCCTCCAGAGTGCTCACTGACAATGGGACAGGGGGACGGGGGGGGGGGATTGAAAGCGGTGGAATCTGGAGGGCAGGGAGAGGGTACGCTCCGGGTATTTGGGGGGCAAAGTCAAAATATTCACAGGGCAGAGAATGGGGAGGCTGAAGTGTGACAAACAACTAGTGAGAGTAATTTTTGGATGAGTCAGTTCGACGCTTCTGCTTTGACTTTAACCAGAGGAGTGTGATCGCTACCAGCTCCCAGAAGCAGAAACGGCAAACTTTAACAAGAAGGGTGCAATAAAGCAGGTTGAGCCAATTATCCTCAGCAGCTACATATGGACGTCAGAGTAACCGACAGCTGCAGGCCTGAGACGGGGTGCTGGTACAGCGACCCTCTGAAATCGCAGTGGGCTCTGCTGGCCGAACTCAAACCGGTGCTTGGCCTCTGGGGTCAGCTGCTCCCCCACTGTTCCCCCAACCCCTCTTATGAAAAGGCCCATGAGGCCCATCTTGTGATCCACGAGGATTATAGTGGTGCGGTTCTCTAAACCCCGCATTCGTCCTGAGGGTCCCAACCTGCAGCACGTCTGCTATCATGCAGTTAACTAGTAAAGACACCGGTGTCACGAACCATGGAGAATCTACACGCAAGGACATCCTTGAAGGGACAGTTACCTAACAGTGACCAGGCTTTAGTGATGAACTGAAATGCTAGTTTATTAATGAACCGCTCCTCCCAGCCCCCTCCGAACCTGCAGTCGCGGCCCCTTCACCTCTGAAACATCTAGGGTGCGAGCCTCACGGACAATGTGTGCTCGGTCCCAGGCAGGGTGTGCGCCCAGACACCCCCAAACCCGCATCGTGCTGCCACTGTGACACAACGTGTCGACAGACCCCGTGCCACGCGCCATCTCACCCCACTCCTATGCTGCCTTAAATGGCAATAACTGGAGTGACGTGACCCAGCTTGGCCCAAGAAGCCGTCCCATCCCGAGTGGGGGGCTGTAGCTCCTCAAAGTAGTCGGCAGATTCACGTCCACGCTTCATTAACCTGGCTGAGAGTTACACACACGGCACAAACACAATAACGCTAAATAAACAGTAATTAATGCAGGCGCAGCTGCATTTAAAAATTATAAATAACACCTATAATTAGCTCTCTGTACGAGCGAATGCTCGTGATGTTCACTGCTTGGAGGAAGAGAGGGACGTGAGGGGAGGGGGGGTCAGAGGGGGGTGGGGCGAGGATGGGTCCAGAAGACCGGACTGGCTGACATTTGAGCGGAATCACACGGGGCAGGGGGCCACAGCAGCCTGTGAAGCCGCTCCTGACTCTTTAATCCCGTTAGCAATGACCCTGAGCTGCCCCTCATTCACCAAACTATTATCCTCACTGGACTTCAGCTTTGCAGAAGTGCCTTAAATTTAATAAATGGTTTGAAATAAACTGGAATTAGGTTATTTTTTTTTATATATTTCATAGTACACTGACAAGCCCACACAAGTCACACTGTACAGACAACATCCTGTCTCTGTTAGACTCCTGCAAATAGAGCAGAAGTAAGTCTCCTTCATGTAAAAGTAAAGGCAGTACAGCCAAAGTCACATGCGAGCGATTTGTCCACCTCATGCCAGCAACTGCAAGTGACCAATGAGCAGGGACATGACCGGCCAATGAGTGACTAATGAGCAGGCTTGTGACCAATGAGAGATCAATGAGCAGGCTTGTGTCCAATGAGAGATCAATGAGCAGGTTCGCTGGTTCTTATGAGCCCCGGTCCATTGGTCCACCTCATGCTCTATGTACATCCTCCTAAGGAAAACATAAGGGCACCTTCCATGAAATACTCGGGAGTTCTCTGAAACGGCCGCTGCTGAAGCCGATGCATAGTCGACTGCTTCCCTCCAGCAGCAGATCAATACTGACGGCATTTCCAGGCACAGACTCACAGCAGGAGCCATGATAGCTGCCAAAAGACAGACAGGTGCACTGCAGAGGATGTCACTACACAGGTAACCACTAGGTGGCTCGACGGCGCCCGCATGACACAGACACATATGAGCAAACATGCCATTACAGGGGCACCAAATTATTCCACACATTCAATGTGCAATTTCTGGCACATTATGCAATTGCGCTTAAATCATTAAAGCAATGTATTCTCAACAGATAGACCTAACTCAATATACAGGGAAAACATGAACTACTTCTGAAATCAGACCAGAGGGTGTACCACGAAGTGAGTTTACTGGTTTATTGAGGTTTCTTGAGGCTTACTTCCAAGTTCTGTGTGCTATGAATCATTGCTCACTTTTAGATTAAAACAGGTTTAAGTCCCACCTTTTCACCAAAAACGTACCCTATATAAGAGCCGCCCTTTGATTAGATATTAGAGATGGATCATACCAAGAAATATCAAGGTTTTTATGGTGTAACCCCATACCGATATTCGGTGCCGGCAAATTAAATTTGCCAGGGGAGGAGGGGTACAGACAACAAAATTTGCAGCGTGGGGCAGGTATTACCTACCTCCTACTTATCAAAGGACGAGTGCTAGTGTGTATCATTAGCTCGCAATGCCAACACCGCCCCTTTCATGTGAGTGGCCATTGACAAACTGCGATTCAACTTACTGAGTTCATAACCATCGGCGTATTATCATGTAACGCTGTTTGCAGAAATTAGGGTTAGTTAACCTGATTCTATCGTATTAACTCCAGGTATGTCAAACACACTGTACCTCACTGGATGCTATGAACCAGACAGAAACAGATTAGCCTAAACGCTAAGAGATGTGCGTCACGCCATGTGAACATAAACGTGAGGGTAACCATGAAGCACGAACGCTCGTTCCCTCACAGAGGCCTAAGAAAGGCCCGTCTATCGCTGCTGACGGATGCCACAAGTGTCACCTCATGAAATTTAGTGGATTCTCTGTGAAATGTAGCTCCTGCTAGAATATCTGGGCACAGGGGTCGTTTGCCAGCTGGAAGCACAAGCCTGCCTAACCAGAGCAGGTGACAGCGCCTTGACTCACCTTGGAAGGGAACGACGGGATGTTCTTGCCTGGCACACTCCTCGGGGGGCTGAGTGGCTGGCGTGAGCGAGGGAGGTGAGGAGAGCAGGGGCTTCTGGGAGCGCACCAAGGGGGAGGAGAGGAAGAGCAACAGCAGCAGGAGTGGCGGCGAGGGCAGCAGCAGGCGGTGGGGCCTGGGTGGGCCAGCGTCCCGCTCCGGCGCGGTCATGGTGGAGCCGACTGCTCCTCTGGCTGGCAGGGTGGTCCTTCAAAGAAGTACCTGTAGGGGGCGACAACGAGGCTCGCAAATGACGATAGGCAATGATGAGAACCAAGCAAGCTCTAAAGCTACCAGGCATGCCCAGCTGCCATCCCAGAGCTTAATTTAAGCTCACCACTCTTTACTACTGCATCAAAGTCAATGTCAGGAGGTCCCTAATGTGGTAGAAATGTCACACTCACTCACATCAGTAAGATACAGAAAGTTTGAGAATGAAGTGTCATGCCAACCTCCTCTCCGAGCTGGACTATCAACAAAACAGCTGCCTACGGATTCAGCTCCCAGCCTCGTCATGCCAGCAGTCCTTAATTATATACTATGTACCAATATCAAACAGTCGATCCACTGCAGCGTACCTTAACATCGTCAAATGTCCATTATCTTTTTAAAAGCTGTCAAAAATAGCAAGTAAATGAGGAGAGTAAATGGAGCTCAGAAGGATCTGTGCTCCACGACAGCGTTTTGCCATACCTGAATGCTAAGCCTGAATGCTAAGCCTGAATGCTAAACCTGAATGCTAAGCCTGAATGCTCAGCGGGCCGCCGCACAAACGCTTGGCCAGCGGGTTAGGGTGGGAGGGCTACCCGCGCGAAGCTGCAGCCATTTCGCCTTCAGGGTTGAGGGAAAATTTACACGGCCAAAGAAAGCAACTCCTTTTTCTTATTCGGCTGTGGTTCTGAAAGGTCTGTAATCAGGTTGTCAATCTTGTTCGATGGGCCAATTATGAGCCTTTCAGGCTGTTGTTTCAGGCAGATCCATAACAAACATGATGATGAGAATGACAGCAAAAGCCGCAGGATACGAGGGCTGAATTCAGCAGGCATACCTTAACATCGTCAAATGTCCATAGAGTCCCTAGTGCGACTCTGTACGGACCTCACTGGCGCACACAGCCTCCTAACAAACAAACAGGACGGACACAGGAAGATCAGTCCATTCTGCAGCTCTGGACCAATCAATGGGGACAACACAGACCTGGGGTGCCTGATAGCTCGCCTCAAGAAAGGGGTGTCAAAGGTTGCAGTGGATGAGAACCCTAATTACACCTGAAATGTGGATGGACACCCCAGCTGTAATGATGCCTGTTTGACAATAGCCAAACAGCTTATATTTACCATTGCACAGGGGAATCTTCCTAACATGAAAAGTATTCATACCATTACTGTCGTGGCTGAGCTATTCAACTAACAGTAAATAATTCATGGCCCATTACTGCATGCTTAAAATTTTCACAGCAGCAAAAAATGCTTATGGTTCAGCACTGTAAGTGTCGTCCTTCTTAATTGGGTAATAAATAGTCCTGGATAAGTGGTACAGCGTGAGTCCCTGCCAGCTACCTACCGTGTTTTTACGCCACAAGCCGTCGCTAATTAGCCGGTGGAACGCTGATGTGCGATTCTTGTCAGCAGTGCCAGTCTACACGAGACAGTGTGACGCTCCTGCTCACTAGACCGAACCAGAACAGCCGTATGAATGTGACACACGCAGATGTGGCGATGCGGGGCTTGCTATGGTTGGTGATAGCCATGAGCAGAAGGTCACAGTTCTGCCCACGGTCCCGGCGTCCGAGGGGGCCCAGGCTGAACCGGCATTTGTAAAGGTGCACGATCGCCCTCCAGAAACAGTCTGTGATGTGTGAGTACAGACTGTTATTAGCTGGGATTGAAGCTGATCACTGACACCTGCAGTACTGAGAGAAGCCCCCCCCCAGGGAAAGTTGAGTGGTGTTTGCACACAAGCAATAACAACACATAATGGGGGGCAACAGCAATGTATGCATACAGAGTCCAGTAAAAGCTCCCCACACAAGGTCTGGAATTCAGGCCTTTGCTCTCCACTACGGATACCAATGAGTAGTCAAGGCGACAGCATTTTGGAACCTGAGTAAAGCATCCAAGTTAGGACCTGCTGACTGTCCCCGGAAAGCACCCCTGGGAGAGTGCCCCCCTCCCCCGATTCCTATCTAACGGACAGGGCCCATTTTCCTGCTCATTTCCCCAGAGTGAATCACCAAGGGAATGCAGCCAATCGACAGGCTCCTCCCCCTTTTTGGAGCCCATGTGTGTGGGGAGGGGGGGGGGTCAGATGGTGCCCCCACTGGGACTTCCCAGCTCCCGAATTTAGTGCTACCCTCAACTACTCCCCGCACCAGCCCAACAGGGGCACGGGCGACTCGAAGGCGACTCGAAGGCGACTCGAAGGCGCTGTTCAGCAGAGGTCGCGAAACTTGTAGGGTCGTCGATTTCTCTCGACACACCGTAAAACCTGGAGCGCAGCTCTCAAGCAAAAGACGCTCTCATCCGACCTGGCTTTTGTGTGCTGTGCCCTTTCACGCAGAAGGTAGCTTTCTTCCCTCACTCAGGGGAATACACTTAATTACAGCTCAATGGAAAATTGCTCATCTGAATCGTATCTGAATCAATTAGATGCTGATTAAATTGCTTTTTGGCCCATCAGGGCCTGAAGCCTACAAACATGACACCTTTCACATCAGAAGAGAGACTGACTGTGTTTTACACAAACCTGCTCGTCATTTGCTTCTTAAAATTCCCCTCTAAATTAAACTACAGCAATCCTTCATCTCAGTTACAGTAGTACTGATTCTATTCCCCAGATAAATGCATAAATGATAAATCCAAAACATTATTTGATTTGTTATTCTCCCTGTGTCAACAACTTCATAATTACACATATGAAAAGTCTTCTGTTAGTACACTTCGGCAAACGTGTCATTCAATTTGAATATCAAAACAATATTATCGCTACTGGTATGAATCGTGCCGCCAGAGTGTAATTTGATTTGCAAGGGCAAGAACAAAACAGCTGCTCCCTGCTCTCAATTAGACCGGAAGAAGAAGAAATTGCAAATGGGTGAGACTAAAATCTACATTTTTTTAATGTAGAAACCTAAATTAGTCCTTTTTAAGTGACGCGAACTGCAACTGTATGAGCATCATCATGGTTACAAGCTACAGCAAAATACTGTACCATCCAAAGTGAATATTTGGGGTTAAATGGGGAAAACACTATAACCCAGCAACAGAGGCACACCCATGTGGTCAGTGCCCCCTGACTATTTTGTACCATCGTGCATATTGCAATTTTGGTCAGTGTCAGTGTTGATGCTACATTATAAGTTACTGACTGGGTCTGTGGCAAACATTTGGCTCCATTCGTCCCTCTTTACTTTTAAATTATTATGTTGTGCCCCCCCCCAGTATCAAAGTGTCTTCTATACCACTGAGGATAGCAATGATAAAAGTTGGCAACTGCGAAGTGGTGATAGTAAAAAAATCTTATTGATCAAGGTTAGTCAAGGTGAGCCCGTACATTCAAACACCCCTAACCGACAATGAGACTTTGGCCAGAAGAAGGTCAGGGCCACCTTCAGCGCTGGGGGCGGAAGGGCACCCACGCCGAGTGCGAAGCAGAGGGCTCCTGTGTTTTTCTGAGGACGCACATTGTATACAGGCTGTTCCAAAGGCCACCCCTCCCTCCCCGGCATGGCGTGCTGTGCGTGTCTGACAGCCCCTGCACACACACACACATGCCCACAGATTACAGACACCGTGTCCTGATACGCTCTCCTCCCTCATGGAAGAGGAAGCCGGTGCAGGTATGGCCTAAACGTTGGGGAGCGTCAGGTCATCATGGCCGAGCTCCCACGTCTGACTGCCTCGCTGCCCGGTCACACTCAGCTGGACACCTGAAGTGTGAAAAGACTTTGGAGCCCCCAATACACACACACACACACACACACACACACCACAGCACTCCACATGGTGACATTTCTTCAGTAAAGTCTGAGGAGCTTTGGTTTGGTGTACGACACCACGTCCCCACGGGACCGAAACCTGGTAAATTACCGAGTCCAGGTTGGCCCAGCACCGTTCAATAAATTCCAGCACAGCCATTATGAAGAATAAGTACCCAATCAGCAGCGACAATATGAGGAATAAGTACCCAATCAGCAGCGACAATATGAGGAATAAGTACCCAATCAGCAGCAGCATTAGCTTGCTAATCCCAGTACCTGCAATCATCTGAAACAAAGTGAAGCAAAATTTCATTTTAGAAATCTCACGTTTCCTTCAAGGAAATTCATCCATCCATCGATCAAGCTGTTTTCCAGGACACCCAGTACACACGAAATGGGATTCCAGTTCCTTTGACCAGCCAGCATCTCACTATATTTGTTTATAAAACCATTGCGTAAAAATGTGACTTTTTTTTTTTTTTTTCCATTTATAGAGGCTGAATAATTCATAAAGCCCAATCAAAAGCATGTCATTACACTCATAAACGTCTGGGCATCAGCCCAGTTCCCAATCTCAGGGTACAGCAGCATGTCCTCCTCTGTGGTGATGTAAACCTGCCTTTCAATCACAGGCGCAATATTTCAGCTGAACCCCCCCCAACACACACACACACACACACACACACACACACACAAATATGGCGTGGGCAGTGCACCAGTGCCACACTCATTACCGGTGTGTTTGGATTTGCACTATACAGGTAACACCGTGAGAAGTCAAGAGCCTAATTATACAACAGGCAATAAAAATCATTTTATTTTCTTCAAAGCTTGTAGTCTGAATACTTGTCCTTATATAGCACACATACCCAGTTTATCTGCATTGTGTGAATTTTCTGTTAAACATACTCTGATGCCGTACCATGATAGCAAATTAACAAGTTCAAAATAAACAGATTTTGTGTAATTAAACACATTAAACAAAAATTCCCAGTTACATATATATATAGTAGCAAATTTAAAAGTAAAACATATTAGCTAAATCAGCATATATATGCGGTACTGCTTTCAAGCAGGGTGACTGGTAAAAGGCAGAATTGCCCAAATAACGGATGGTGATGTCATGCGAAATTAGCCAGTTAAGCTAGGTACAGGCTAATAAAGTTAAGAAAGGTGGGGAAAGAGGAATAAAAAAAAAAAGACGAGTGAAATGTCAGAATCAGCGGATGCATCAGCTGGAAAG